TCTGCAGTTCCTGAGTCCTAGATTGGATTCAATCTGCACAGAGGGTAATTCTTTCTCATCCAGATAATACTGGCTCTATGGAAGATGAGTGCATCAGCTTGGACACAGCAGCTGACTGACACCCCCAGAGAGAGTGTATAGGACAGTCAATGGGTCTTCAGGGAGTGAGGAACTGTGTCTGTTGAAATTCCCTTTAATAATATTGTGGAGGTACACAGTGTGGTGGGGAGGAGGAGAATAATAAAGAGCAGCAAAAGTTGATAGGACAGAAACAGGTGAGGCTTATTATTATTATTTTGTGAGAAATACAAGTTATCTTCAGTTTTTAACTGTATGTTTACCTAATATATTCATGCTGAAGTTTGAATTATTTTGCCTTCCCTGGTTCATCCTTTCCCCCTCTTCAACATGCTAATGAAATGTTCAAATAAAACCTTTCCAGTTTCATTACATACATTATTTTAGACCCAGTGATATCTTCCTGGGTCTCTGTGCTTCCCTATACAATGCAATAAGATCATGGCTGGTGGGAGGGGCCAGCAGGATGCCATACATAGCTTCATGAAAAGATCACAGCACCCTTCCTCAGTACTCCTCTGAAAAACCCTGTTGTAAGCAGTGGACTAGTTCTTGGGAGAAGTTATGCAAATATCAAAGTGACATACTGCAGTTTAATTCAGATTGCCCATAAGTAAACACACATGTGATCCTCAGCCTATATGAATAAAATAACTATGAAAGGGGCAGGCAGGGACAGTCAGGCTGGGGAGGAAATAGCTAGATGGTACTAGATTTTTTCCAGCCAGGAAATGAAGCAGGCTCTAGCTACCGCAGCTGCTAATGCACAATGTGGGAAGCTCACAGTGTGCAATAAAATCAGAGTAAGCCATTTTAGTACAGAAGAGGAGCCTGTACCACTGTGCAAGACTGCATGTAAGACTGGAATTCAGATGTAAAGACTTGATTGAGGAGTACTGGTGGTCAAGAGTCAAACATTGCAGAAGAGTTGTGCTGCAGCTGTGATTACTACTATTTCCATGTTAGTTTTAAATATCATTCTAATAATAAGGCAGGACCACTCACTATATATTCCTTACGTATGTAAAGATGTGGCCTGGGGAGGCAAGTGGCCAGTAGCCCAGAAAATGCTGGGAACCCCTGTATAACATACCAATATGCAATGGGTGGATTTCAGCCTCATCAAAATAGTTGAGTACAGTCTCATCTTCAGTGTTCAATTCTCGGAACATCGCGAGGGCCCTCAAGAACCGCTCCTGTGTGTAATGCGTTCCGGCAACTACGCTTTCTGGCAGGTTGATCACACGGTTTTTAAGGAATTCATCAGATGCATCCAAAGAAATGACATATTCTATACACAGAGAAAATGGAAATATATCAAGCAAAGCTCACTCACAAATGATTTAATCATTTGTAATCCACTGACATACCTCTATATTCATTGTGCAATTATGTTACCATGTTACCAGGAATGATATTACCTAGAAGAGTTTTCCAGCCTAAAATAAAAAGTATAACTAAAGGCAAAACTTTTTTTTTTTAGTTTTAGTTTTGGATAGAGTGGAGATGGATTACAACACCTTTCAGGTTTCTACTGGTGTCTGTGACCCCGTTAAGGAGTCTATATTTGTCCTGTTTACCATTATTATCATTGAAAGTGAAAGTAAAAGAAAATCCCAAATTGTTGTTCCCAGAAAAGGAATACAGGGGAAATCTTCCAATGGGGACACTAGTTCTGGTGACCTGGGGGTCCCCAAGGAATTCCCTAAATTGCAGGGATTTCCTCTCACTTCCTCTTTGGCTATGGGACAGGAAGTGAAAGGAACTCAATGGGACACAGATGGTGAAAAAAATGTTGACGGGGTTATAACCCTCCCTTACTCTATCCAAAATAAAAAAAAAAACTTTTGCCTATAGTTTTACTTTATTCTATGGCCATACAGGGCAATGCAACAGGTTCACTTTAAAATAGATGTTTGCAAAGAAATAGAGGGCACACGGGCCTAGTGCATTACTTTTTAAAAATTAGATTTATTGAATAAAAGTAGTATACTCACAAAATAATAAAATCGAAGGCACATCACAACAAAGACAGCAAGAACCTCTTCCTCAGAGCCTCCTGTGGCTGTGTAGACTTGGCTCTGAGGAAGAGATTCTGCCTCGAAATGCGTCAGCCATTTGGAGGCCTACAGTCCCCCCAACAGCCACCATCTAGGGAGATTGGACCATGCTGTCTTTTTTGTGATGTGCCTTTGATTTTATTCTTTTGTGAGTATACTACTTTTATTCAATAAATCTCAATTTTAGAAGGTAATGCACTAGGCCCATGCGCCCTCTGTTTGTTTCTTTGCACACAGCTCCTTTGGATTTCCCTGGTCCGTTGAGGCCAGCATTGGCTTGCGTTCCCAAAAAGTACTCCATGTGGGGTTACTGACATTGTGGAGCTCATCGTCCAGCGCAGGAGTTTCAGCATTCATTTGCTCATGCTTTTTTATCACTTTAAAATGGAACTATGGGCAAAATAAAAACAGATTTATAATATTATCTTCCAGTCTATCACTAGCATTAACATGGCAGGTTTTGAGTTCTCCCTGTAACACAATTTTATTACCTGTCAGTAAAACCCTTATTTTTCCAATCCCTTTTTCCACACACTTGGTGACAACACTGTTCACTCTGCAGTGAAATCCCTTTGAATAGGGTAATCGTAGATGGACATTTATTTTAAAATGGACAAAGTGATAACCCTTTCCTGTCTGCCATCTGTAGATAAATGTTTCTCAACAAAATGTCCAATGCCAAGGAGATGCTTTTAACTGCAGAACTAGCATCCAATGCCTGTTCCATCTGCTAGTTTTTGTTACAGTGCTGCATCTGAAAATGGCTGCAGTCAGGTACAGCAATCAGTATCCATTCACCATGGTTTCCAATCATGTGATCGTGATGCGTAATCACATTGTTTAAAAACAAGCTGGCATTGGTAAAGCACAAATGAAAAATATATTACATTCATACATTACAGTACACAATACATTAAGCTGTTAAAGTAACATGCATTTATACACATTTTGGTCCATTTGTGAGCTTATAATAGAAAATCTGAGCAGAATATTTATTAAAACAATAAGCCAAATAAAAGAGATATATGACCTTTAAAACAGTGTAAAATTGTAGTGAAAATTAAACATAGAGGTATTATCAAGTTAACCAACTCATACAGATGTTGATAAAAGAAGCCTGTGTATTTAATCATCATAACCCTTGGCCACAAGAGGGTTATTATTATTATACAGTATTTATATAGCGCCAACAGTCTGCTCAGCGCTGTACATTACAATGGGAGACAGTACACGAGACAGTAGAGTAACAATACAGTGCAATACACGAGGAGTTCGAGGGCCCTGCTCCTTGCAACATACAATCTAGGAGGGAGGGGATAGTGGTACAGGAGGAAATAGCTGTGGGGGATGGAGTGGTAGGAAGAGTGGAGGAGATCAGCAATTAGGTGAGAGCGGGGTAGGCTTCCCTGAAGAGATGGGTTTTCAGGGTGCGTCTGAAGGTGAGGAGGGTAGGTGACAGTCTGATGGATTGGGGTAGTGAGTTCCAGAGGATGGGGGAAGCCCTGGAGAAGTCCTGGAGACAGGCATGGGAGGAGGAGACCAGGGAACTAGAGAGTAGGAGGTCTTGCAAGGAGCGGAGAGTACATTTTGGGTGGTATTTGGATATCAGATCGGTGATTTAGCTTGGGGCAGTGTTATGAACAGCTTTGTACGTCAATATTAGTCATTTGAATTTTATGCGTTGGGCAATCGGAAGCCACTGGAGGGATTGGCAGAGGGGGGTGGCGGATATGGAGTGGTTAGTAAGGTGGATGAGTCTGGCTGCATAATTCAGGATAGACTGAAGCGGGGATAGCCTGTGGTGAGGTAAGCCGGTGAGGAGGGAGTTACCGTAGTCAAGCCGTGATATAATAAGGGAGTGAATGAGTTGCTTAGCAGTTTCTGGGGTTACGTATTTTGGAGATGTTGCGGAGGTGGAGTCTACATGAATTTGTCAGCAATTGGACTTGGGACTGGAAAGACAGATTGGAGTTTAGAATGACACCTAGTACTCTGGCTTGCGGGGTGGGACTGATGGTGGCGTTGTTGATCGTGATGGAGAGGTCGGGGGGGGGGCGCGGGCTGGGGGGAAAACTAGGAGCTCGGTTTTGGAAAGGTTTATTTTGAGGAAGTGGAGTGACATCCAATCTGATATGTCGTTCAGTAGGCTAGTGATTCGGGCGGAGACTGAAGGGGTGAAGCGAGGGGTAGAGAGATAGATTTGCGAGGGTTTTTTTTTTGAGCAGTTACAGCAATATTTCTTTAAAAAAATGATTAAATCATATGAATAAAAGCTAAGAGTTGTAAGTACCCCCGACAGTGTTATATGTTTTTCCCAATCCTGCTGCTGTGCATTTTGATGGATAGTTTGGCCTGCAAATAATATGTGGAGAATGGCCCAGTGATGTCATATGGGGCTAGAAAGAACTGAGTCACATGGTCCTGATACCCTGATGTACTGGCTACTTCTATTAGCTGTCAGTGCCAAACAGAGAAGCCAGGGCCAAAGGAAATGTGAGTACGGGCAGGGGAAGACTGAACAATAAAGTGAACCAGTTGCTAAGCCCTGCATGTGTGAAACATGTCCTATGTTCATGGGAGGATCACAGGAACATCAGCATTCCTTTACAAATCGTTTGGTAAATAAAACTTTTCTTATAGGTCTCCATGGTGTATTTAGCTGTTTGGATGGAAGTTCCCCTTTCTAAATTACTTTTACTCACCTGGAGTGATGGTTTTATCAAAATGTGGAGCTTTACTCCTACTCTCCTCCTCTTCTTCTCCTTCTTCTGCTAAAAACCCAGAAACACAACATATTCTAAACCTCATTTTGTAAATGTACAAAAAGCACTTACAGAAATGTTTGATGCAAGGAAAGCAATCTTACTTACAGTTGAAAAGCTCCTTAGCGTGCTCGTAGGTCTTGGGATATCCATCTAAGACATAGCCCTGGTTCTGACAAGGCATAGACTTTAGTTTCTCCTTCATGAACCTGATCACGTAGCTGTCGTCCAGACGTCCTGCATTCAGAAAGTTCATGAGACAGATGACAATACATGACCAAACGTTTGTGGACACTTATATGAGTTTGTTGGATATCCCATTCCAAAACAATGCGCATTTCTTTATCTAGAGAGGTTTCAAACCTACTGGCATTTTATTACCTGATTTAAATATATTTGGGATGTTTCTGTGGCAATTCAGCCCTATGGCAACATGGCTGAGCTGCCTGTCTCCTCCTGTAGGTGGAGTAAAGTGCAGTACAAAAAGATGGCTGACATCAGACACTAGAGAACCCCTTGAGAACATCTGATAAGATGAAAAGTTTTGGGGCACAATCTCAGAGCTGATGTCACACAGCTGCACGATCCTGGGTCACCAGTGGCTCTCTCAGCTCCTTGGTGAGCTCTATCTGTTCCAGTAGGAGTTGCCTTTTGCTGCTGCCTAAGAGGAGTGATACCGGAGTGGAAGTGCATACACCTGAGGAGGATTTATGCCTGGGAAACATGTTGTGTCTGCTGTACCTGTTACAGCTTATGGTTTGGTAAGTGTGACACTGATTAAGGTTCTGGCATTCTGTGTTCCCATTACACTACAAGGATCTGCTGGATGGTGGAAGATCTTTTTTATCTGAGTATACTGTATATGGACTTTGAATTAAGGGAGACTTCAGATTTGCCACATTGAACACTGTTTACTCATTTTGTTTTTATTTTTGTTATATTCACAGGCGCGGCATCATTTCATGATATTGGAAGCCTTTAGTTTTGGGTATATCAAACTTTGTTTGCCAGCGGCCACACGTGTTATCACAGTGCAAATACATTACAATATGTTTATTAATCTGGAGTTGCCCTTCCACCTTCTTTGCAACTATAGCAGCTTCTACTCTTCTGGGAAGGCCTTTCCTGAGATTCTGGAGTGTCTGTGGGAATCTGTGCCATTTGTGAGGTCAGGTACTGATGTTGGATAAGACGTTCTGGTTCACAATTGGATTTCCAATCCATTCTAAAGGGATATGTGCAGACCACTTGAGTTCCTCCACACCAAACTGGTCAAGTCATTTCTTTATAGAGCTGGATTTATTATACATAGGGGCACAGTTATGGTGAAGCAGAAAAGGGCCTTCCCCAAACGAATTCTAAAAGGTTGCATGTGCACAATTGTCTAATATGGCTTTGTCATAATTTGGAGGGATGTCCACATACTTTGTCCATACAGTGGAAATGATAGTCAGATGTACAAAACTTTTGGCCATTTACTGTATCAGAGTTGTTATTTGGATGAACTTTAAATAATCCTCTGTAAGTACTTTATTACCCAAGGTAGAGTAGCAGCCTGCAAAAGTGGATAGTCCGCCCAATCAGAAATAGGATCACTATAATTATTCTACCCACTCTAAACTGATTCTGGATTGGTTGTTACAGGTAACTGCAAGCCACAGCCTTTTGCATTGTACTCTAACAAGTCCACCTGTGTTTCTGAACAAATCAAGTGACAAGTGTCAAGTCATTCACATTGATGAAATTGCCCTACCCACATAAATATTACATATATTTTTTCACATATCTTTGCTTGTCAGAATTTGGAATTTCAGTCAACAAACTGTTCGAGAAGCAGTAGGTGGGATCTGCCATCAAAGGCTCTCTGTGTAAAGAACACCAACTACTACAAACAGCTATACACAGCACTGTCCACCATACTCCCTATGCACACTAATGTTAATCACAGGATGATTGCACTAAGTGACACCATAGCTTTGTTCATAGTTGACAGCACATTCAAAGGCCGATTGCTGGAAAAGTCAATCACAGCCAGAATTTTGACTATAGTTAGGGTTAGGGATTAAACAGGTAGCTATGGCATATTTATGTTACAAATGCATTTATTATTTCAAAGGTGAATTACCACTTTAAAGCAGCACATAAAGGTCAAATACCTCCATTTTGTTCCATGTTCCCCTTCACAGAGTCCAACAGTTCCTGCCAGGATTCTGGTCCTTCTTCTGCTTCCTCTTCCTCCTCTGGAGGAGTTTTCACAAGCTTTTCCTTAAAAAAAAAAGACAGTACATGCTATAGTCAGACTGCTTATCTTTGTACTAAAGGGAACACAGTCGAATGGAATTCCCAACCTGCTTGTGGCCTACAGAGCCCTTTTTTTTTTAACTTTTTTATTATGGATATTCAGCTGCAAAGATATATGTACAATAATCATAATACCAACAAAACACTACTTATAGTACTGCAGCAACAGAACATTTCAAGTTTCAAGCAGGGACATATACTGTCTTTTAGGGTTTTTTCTGTAGACATAAAGTGGTCGGCTTGATGTAAATAGTAATATCAATGTCTGCTTTAGTTTTAGCAATCTATAATAATTATATATGTATAATTTATAACTACATACAGTATACACATGGGAGCAGTCTTATTGGTTACATATGCAAGTCTTCCAGTGCGATGCAATGTTGATGCTCTACTGCTTCTCAGCAGACTGACTAAAAACAAAGCACTCCCAGGGTGGTCAATATCTTATCTCAACAGCTGGTAAAATGACCCTGTCACTACAGGGTTACTTTATAAAAAGAAGGGCAGCCCAGTAAAGAATATGATCTATAGTTACCATTTTGACAGCCTATGGGGTTGATTTACTAAAGGCAAACAGTCTGTGCACTGCAAGTGCAGTTGCTCTATATCTGAGAGGAAGCTCTGCTGATTTCTATCATATAATCATGTGCAAGCAAAAATGCTGTTTTTTTTTATTTTCTTTGCTTGTGATTGGGTATTCTTTCCGCTACCAATCTAACGGATGGCCACCTGTGGGCGAAAAGCTGCTGAACCACCGACCGGAGCTTCAAAAGTTTTTCTGATGGAAGGAACACCTTGGCTTGCTCCAAATTGAGGATGACCCCCAGATACTTCAGGTCCTTGGCCAGAGTCAACACCAACTTCCTGAAGTTCAGGATCCACCAGAAGTCCTGTGGAGAACACATAGTGATCTCCACACTAACTAGTAGGGACTTACAAGTCTCGGCACGCAGGAGCAACTCGTCCAGGTAGCTGATCATCGTGATCCCCCGTTGTCTCAGTAAGGCCAAGACTGTGGCTAGGACCTCAGTAAACACAAGGGGTGTGGAAGCTAGACCAAAGGGGAGAGCCACAATTGGTAATGCGCATCCCAGATGGCAAAATTAGGAAGCACAGATTCCCCTCGAAAATGGGGATGTGCAAGTAAGCGTCCATTATGTCCAGGAGGCCAGGAAATTCGACAGAGGGAAGCTCAAGCTACCACTGAACGACTGGATTTCATCATGAACTTGTGAACCAACACAAAGGTATTTAGGGCCTTGAGCACCAGGATAGGGCAAACTCCGTCCGCCTTGGGAACTGAGAACAGATTGGAATAAAAGCCTCGACAATGCTCCCAGGCAGACACTGGGACAATCACTCTGCGGAGGAGTGGTTCCTTCACAGCCCCGTACAGGGCCTGTAGGTGCCACGGCGAGAGCCGTTGCCGAAAAGAGAGTTACCCTGAAAGGGCAGGTCCACCAGGGCCTTTTTGGAGGTCTAGTCCACCGACCAACACTTGAGCCAAAGGACCCATCGGAGCACCACAGCTGACACGGACAAATTACAGAGCGGTGGAGCTGCATCAACATAGGCATCGCAAGCGTACTTCAATCCCTGCACCACTGATCCGTCAGTTCCACATAAGCTTGGGGCAACTGACTAGCAGTTAAGGCTTGTCGCAGAGCCTAGGCCCATTCAGTCAGTGTCTGGGATACCAAGGCCGTAGCCAACACCGGCCTTAGTGCCAATAGTGAATATAAAGTGGGCTGCTGCCTCCGCCCTGCAGGATCCTTAAAAGAGGGAGATTCCTCCATAGGGATTAACTTGGCCTTGTTAAGCCTGGAAATGGGAGGATCAACCATCGGCAAGGAGATCCACTTCTTCAGCAGGACATCCTCAAAAAGGCAACACACTGCAAAGCGTTTTTGGGAGTACAAACGGACACTTCGGCCGACTCCAATCCTTATAGACAAAATTTGTCAAAATACTCGGGGGTAAGGAAAAACCAAAGGGAACAGGCACCACATCAGCGCCCCCGAAGAGTCCTCAATTGTTAGCATTTAACGCACCCAAGCAGTAAGTGCTGCTTCCAATGCCTTCTCCTGTGTGGCTACAGAGGAAAAAGTACCTGTCCTCCTCATCCGAGGAATCGGGATGTGTCATCAGGATTCGCAGCAGCCGGATCCAGTTCAGTCTCAAGTTCATCCAAGGATGAACGCAGGGGACACTTCTTTCTCACCTTGCAGCCGCCTGCTGCCTCCACACGGGGCATGAACAACTCCAAGATGGCTGACAACGTGTCAAGGGGAACCGAGGGACCCAAGACCTCCAGGGGGAGTCCCGGTAGGGTGAGAGGGGACCCCGTAGGATCGACCACCCCAGGGAGCACCTGCACCCCACAACTCTTCCTGGGAAGGAGGGGGGGAGCACTACTTACCAATCCAGTGGAGCGTGCAGGTGAAGCTCCCGTAACAGATCCCCCCACGAACTGGGGGGACTGTCGAAGGGGGGACTGTCGGCCAGGGGTACACTGTGACACAGACTATAAGCACCCAGTCATATTTGTCCCTGCGAGACATTTAATTTACTGGCTGCCGTGGTCCGTGGGGCATAGTCACGGCCAACCGAGTGCAGAGATGGCGGTTTGCACGCATTCGCTGGTAAGACTGGGGTGACCACTGGATCTAGATTATTATGCCCATCGCCCAGCCTGACTATTGATAGAAGATCTCCGCAGGAACACAAAAATTTCAGGAATAAAAAAAAGGAAAAAAAAAAAAGAAAGGTCATGAGACCACAAGTCCCAGCAAAACTTCATGTCCATATTCCTGAGACACTAGGCAGAAAAGACTGGAGGCCTATAGCAGAGAGGGGGTTTTATACCCAGAAAGGACTGTCATAGGAGGTGCCAAGTTGTTTTTTTTTCTGCCTAGTGTCCTACTCCTGTAGGTGGGGCTTTAAAAACCCTACTTTGTTATGGATAAGAAGGAGATGCTGTGTCCGTCAACGAACATAAGAGAAAATCCTTTATTGTTGCAGACTGCAGCATGGTTTTACATACCAGATTTGCAATGGCCTCTGTGATGACATCTTTTATGTGAATGTGATGTAGCTTGTAGTGTTTGCATAGTAATTTTGACACTGTTGTTTTTCCTACAGCGGGTGGACCGAGGATACAGATACGGATGGGCTGAAGAGAAAAAAAGTTGCATTAAGAAAGGAAACTTCTGCAAACTCTGTTAACTAATTGTTGCATTTAAACTGACAGAATGCAAGATTCCTTTCAAATAAAAGAACCAGCAACCTGTTGTGTAAATAAAGCACCTACTGTTTATGGGTCTCCATGCCTCTAACATTCACAAATTTAGGACATGTGTATAACTACTCCTTTACCCAAGCATCTATTAACTGCGTAAGTGTGAACCAGAAATAAAAGCTAATTTCTCATGATTCCTAGAATTAACAGAGTGATAACAGAAACAACATGTATTAGGGTGCCAGATGCCTCGTTGCTGTCATTGTAAGAAAAGTAGTATCACCTGGTTGTATTTTGTGAGTTCTAAAACCAATATATAATTCATATGTGAGGGAAATTAAAAGTACATGCTATTTGTCACTTCATGTTGCACTTGAATTTCCTCTGCATTTCTATCTACAGCAGCTAGGATTTAAAATACCAAAAAAAAAAATCTAATTTTTTTATCACTAACAATCTTGGTAATATAACCTTCAGACAGATTTTTTTTAAACTTGTACATTTTCCATAAGAATGCACAAAGCTTAAAGTCAAATTAATAGAATCTGCAGTTTTGCCATATTTCATGTTGGCAAGACACTGGGAAAGAGTGTTTGACAGCAAAAGTGATGCTGCAGAGATGCAACATGTCTTATTACTATACCGGGGCTGATCATGTGATTAGAGTAGGCAGGCCCTCCCAATCTTGTACTGCCAAGGCCTATCTAAATATCTACGAAGAAGCAGGTAATAATATTAAATGCTGGTGAAAAATTCAAACAATATACTGTATATATATTTTTTTTTCCACAAATAAACTAGAGGGGCAGTTCAGCGCCTTCATGGATAACACTTCTGCTTGCAACATTGGGGTCCTCTGTACTAGTTTGTATGTTCTCTCTGTGCTTGTGTTGGTTTCCTCAAGGTACTTGAGTTTCCTTTCAAACCGCAAAGGCATGCTGGTAGGTTCTTTGGCTCCTATCTAAATTGGCTCCTATCTAAATTGGCGCTAATTTGTGTGCACATTTGTGTATGTGAGATAGAGACTTTATACTGTAAACTCCTTGCGGACAGGAGCTGATGTGAATGAACAGTATGTAATGTGTTGGGTAAATTGTCTGCGTCAATGGCATAAATGCCTGTACTAAAGAAGTAAATACATACTTTTCAACGTTCCTGATTACAAAAGTTTAAAATGGCCTTATCTTTTATGTACTGTCATCTGCATCTCTTATCACTGTAATGCTGTTTGCCTTCCAAATCTACATACCAGAAGTCCTCGGCTTTCCTTGAACTCTTTGATGACAGAGTCTATATTTTCTACTATTCCACTCTGAGACACCCAGTTAATGTTAAAATTCTCCTTCAAGAACACGGCTTCCATTCTCAGGTTCACCAGTAGCTGGTCAATCTCCAGTTGCTGAAAAAGAAAGAGGATTTGCAGCATGAGTAGCATATTAGAAATGGGCCATTTGGTGATTTAGAAAAAACAAAAAAAGCCTACAGTGTGGGATTGTAAATATATGGCCTGCATATGCATATATGGTGTTCCCAGAACAATGGGTTATAGGCAGTAGGGTGGTAGCTAGGTGCCCCTTATCACTAAAGAAAACAGATGTGTGAACAGGTAGGATTTCTCCATATATGCAAAGCAAGGCTTAATGAGACCCTGTCATTAATTTTAAAATTGCAGGTAAAAGAACAGAAAATAAAGTATTTGAAATTCTAACTTGCAGTATTTTTCCCTTCCATAAATTATTTTTATTCATTTGCAATATGCCCCTGAACTTGCTAGAAAATGTGACTTAACAGTAAGAGTCAATTCCTGAGCACAGCCCTCCTTGCACGCTGTTACGCTCTCCTCTGACAGCATCTACTTTCTGTGCTGGTACAGCTCCTCCATCCCTATTCTCACCTCACTATATTACCTTTTTCTGTAGCAGTTAGGGGAGGAACACTACAGAATGTCATGGTAAGGGGGAAATCTGTGTCTACTGGGGCTGCTGACATCACATCCAAGATGGTGCATTTCAGCTGCAGTCTCAGGACTTTTGGATGTCTACACACAGGAGATTTTTGTTTGTACTTTCCTGACATTTTAGGACCTCAAAAAATGTAATAGGCAGTCAGAACATCCGTTTGGTCAAAAGTTTGGTCATTTTAGCTTTATATATTAAAAAAGAATAAAAAAAAAAAAAAAACTGTGGTTTTGGACTACGGCTAAAATGGTCTTGGAGCAAGTACTCAATGTTACCCTTCCCCTAGACCCGCTACACTAACTTTTGGGGCTATTCTTTAGGGGTATTTCTAAGCAATCTAAGAGTTTGGGAAAACATATTCTGACGGCTGCTAGACGGGTGACACCACGATTCTGGAAATCCATCGATGCCCCCACACTAAATCATCTTTTATAAGTGATCTCTGAAATCAAATAAATGGAATATCTTACCGCTTTAGTGGGTGACTACTCAGGTCACTTTCAATCTATTTGGGAACCATGGGATCACTCTCCCTTTGGTAGAGTTTCTTCCTCACGCCCTCTTCCCCCTCCCCTTATATAGCTCAGATACCTCTTTACTTACCAAGCCTCTGACAAGTACTGTAACCCAACAATGTGCAGGTTTAGGTTGTCTTGTGTTTTTGTAATGTACAGTTTACCATGCTGTCTAATTATGTTCATATTTCTTTTGTTTCTGTTCTCTTTTATATTGACTGTGGATTTTTTTTCAGTGCAATGTTCACACCTAAAGTGTTGGAACCTTGTACTGAAAAATGGGCTTTGGCCTTTAATAAAAATTTGCAATAAAAAAACCCAAAAAAACAAAAAACAGTGGTTACTAAATATCACCAAAAGAAAGTTCTATTGGTCTCAAAAAATGAAACAAAATGAATTTGGGTACACTGCTGCATATCCAAGTAATTGTCAATCAAACTATTGAATGCAATGAAAACTGAAAATTGGTCAAAAAAGGAAGAAGGTATAACATGCTGGTATTGAGGTGGTTATGACCTGTAACAACTGTATAAAAAAAGAGAGAACAAGACTAAATTACTGACTGTTAGCTCTTTATTCAGGAACACAGCTTCTTTAGAAACCTTCTGCACTTTGCCAGGACCGAGGTGTACGCTGACAGCCTGTCAGGAAAATATAAAGCAAGGTCAGAAGAAACATTAATTTCTACATTCTGAACGTTCTTCACATCCCATTCTTAGGAACATTTAAATGTTCTGTACCTTGACAATGTCCTCCAGTGTGTGAGTGGTGTCATCCACTGCAACCAGGTAATGAGTCCGTGGCCTGCGGTCTACAATGTTCTGTACCACACTACAATCAGTTCAGGATTATACATTATAGCACTCAATGGTGGCCTGGAGAACTCAAGGTGATCAAACAGAACAGAATTGTGAATCATAGAAATCTGAAGGGCTGTCACACCGAGTACCCATAATACAATAGTGAAACGTTTCTGCACTTGATTCTTTAAGGCTAAAAGATGTGTATAAAGCTGAACTGTAGAAAACAGCTAAATACTGTACATGGATGTAACACATATGAAATATAAATGACAAAAGAAACTAGAACTCGGCAGTTTAAAGCAAAAACAAGCTGCATCAACTACCCGTGTCTGAATATAGGACCTCAATTAAACATATATGAAAAACAGGTATGCATACCACTTAAAAAAATTAAATAAATAATTGCATTTAAGTGCACCTGATATTTTGTATAGTCTAATACATATGAAAGCTGACTTGCAGAGCAGGAGTTCTCTGTGCAAAAAAATGTACAGGTCTTGTCTCTCCTCCAGCCTGTGAGAAGCACACTAAAAAGCTTATCTCACTGTCACCGTGCTCTCTCCTCCTATCAGCAGAGTCCTTGCACTCCAACACAACTCACTGGATCCTTGTGCTGCTCCACCATTCCATGTTTTAAGGAAGAAAGTTGCACATCTGTTGTGTGTTTTTTTTTTTTTTTTTTTTCAAAAAGCTTTATTGCAACTTGAATAGCTGTACAGCAAGCCAAGGTACCCTGCCAGGCTCTGCTCCTAATTCTCATTGCTTTGCTCCCAGATGAGGCGTATTCATTACTTAGAATGGGCTCAATTAAGCCAGGGATGTAGTTCTGGGGGTTGTGCCTACGTCAGTAGAAACGGACCTTCCAAAAGCTACACCAACATGAATTTTACAAGCCTGGTGATTGTGTCACAGTGAGTAATAAAAACGGATTACTGCTACAGGAACAAGGTAAAATTAAAAAATAATAATATGTTTGAGGAGAGGAGAGGAGAGGAGGGGAGGAGAGGAAGGTTTAGGGGTAAATTTGAGTAATGTCTGGACAAGTCACAATATTCATTAGTAGTCTTGCACAATATAGAATGGTCAAGCTGAATGACATGCTATAACGATTCCACAATTTCTATACTGCAAGCATGTTTACCTTGCTAAATCTTTGATGTGGATCAGTGGATTGATATTCTGGCCATCTCCAAAGACAGGCAGTGCTGACGTTTCTCCCAGCCAGGCCTCCTATATGTATGAAAAGTAAAAGCAATTATGAGTGCACCCACAGGCTCTATATTGTACAATTACACTTGCACAAAAAGAACCTGTCAGTTTAACTTAATGGAGTTTATTGTGCCAACTGAGCTGTTTACCTGTGTTCAGTGCACTGCTTCTTTGTACCTTACACTGGAGTTTCAAAAATCCCCTCCTGCTTATGCAAAAAACACGGCTGTGTCGACCCCCACAACCTGCTTCCCGGGTGGTGACATTAAATTAGAAATTTCTTTACAAAAGCAGCCCTAAGTTTAGCAGAAAAGCCTGTTTCCTATCAGAATGCTCTGTATGAGAATGCAGTGGTCTCTCTGCAGAGGTCTTACCCCTTTCCCCTGCTGTCTCAGAGTTAGACTACGTTCACACTAGCTTTGTCAGCAGGCCTTTTAACGCTTCTCAAACGCCTATGAAAATTCTGCACATGGCAGCACACAGTGCTGTTCACACGGAATCGTTAGTGTCGCGTCTCGTTGCGTCGTGGCAAAACTGACGCCTGGGGGTTTATTTACTAAAGCTGGAGAGTCCAAAATCAGACTCCCTTCTGCATAGAAACCAATCAGCTTCTAAACTCAGCTTGTTCAATGAAGCTTTGGCAATGAAACCTGGAAGCTGATTGGTTTCTATGCAGAAGGGAGTCTGATTTTGGACTCTCCAGCTTTAGTAAATAAACCCCCTTGTGTCAAGTCAGGAGGAGTTGAAGCCTCCCATTCAAGTCTATGGTGCCGCTCCGCAAACGCCTGGCAGGCGTTTACAAGGTGGTTGCGGAGCGTTAATACCATTTAACTTCATTATAGGAGTTTGTGGTGCGGTTTATCGGTGGGCAAACGCCTATCAACCGCCTCAAAAAACAGCACATGGGGAATTTGGGGAGCGTTTGAGGTGCATTAAATACGCTTCCCAAACGCCTGTCTAACGCCTGTCAAACACTATAGGGGCATTTGGCAAGAGTTAGAAAAAAAGTCAAGTGTGAACAAGCCCTTAGAATTGTCTATTGAGCAGGGACTACGAGCTTTGCTGACTGCATTGCTATAGGCTTGACAGAGCAGGGGGCTTGCCAGACAACTTCAGAGATATCCCTTCTTCCACACAGAGAGCAAACAGCATGCTGACAGGGAACAGACTTTTTTACTCAGGCTGTGGCTTCTTTCTGAAGAGAACAATCTGAGACTTTGCACACTTTTTGTTTTGGTGTACCTGAAAAATATTTAGTGAATTTAAACTGAAAGTTCAACTGGGCTTCAACTTAGCCTTCCCAACGTACTTAACTAAAATGGCAAACTTTTTTCGCAGAAATTTCAGCAAAGCAAAAACTCTGCTTTGCTAATCCCTAGAGAAAAGTTATTGATTTTTTTGGCTTTATGTTATTATAGGAAATGTGTTCTTGTAAGCCACGGAATGTATTGCTCTAGAATCCCAGCACTGAAATTGAAAGGCTAAGTTCATGTTATTGAACACGTTACACTTTATACCCAACGTGCTCCAGTGCGTGTCCCCCCCAAATCATCCCCCGTGACAGCGGGTAGGGGGATCCTCTCTCTGCACCCGCTGTCACATTTTGAAACCAGTGCGGCCGTGAAGGAATAAACTACAAGTACCATCTTTCACCGCAGCAGACAGACTTGTAGTTTGAAGTATTCAAAATTCACTGCATCCGCAGCCCAATGGTGTGAAGCATTCCATAGGACTTAATCGGATTGCATTTTTTTAGCACAGTAAAAATACGTCAAAAATCAGAAAGCAGCCTAAATGCACATTTCTTAACCTGCAAGAATATGTGCATTTATAATTTTTTAATAAAAAGTGACCTTATCCTTTAATGATTTATACAATATGCAATTACTATTGATTTTGATTTAACCATCTTCTGGGTAAATCTCAAGGCTAATTTTTTGTTTGTGTTTTTTTTTTAGCTACCTTATGGCTACAGAGAACTGTTTTAGACCTGCTACCTTGGAACAAAAGAAACTGGTATTCCATTTCCTGTGTAAAGGTACATATTTTAGAACTTACTTTGAAGAATGTATGAAGGATGCCCTCTTCTGCTCCATATAGAAGGCCAGATGCAACCACATAGGTTGTGAACTTGCCTTTGTTCTGTAAAAAGATATCACACGGAAATATATATTAAAAGTGTGGCAGGTTAAGTCAGACGTTTACCTGAAGACCTCTCAACTCAAGGCCCATGCACATTTGTGTGTTGTGGCAATGTGTGTTAAAATGCACCTGTTCTTTGAGCGGTGTGTTGGGTTCAACACTTCATTGAATGGCACCCAGGGGCGGACTGACCATTTGGAAACTCGGGCACTGCCTGAGGGCCCAGGGTCAGTAGGGGGCCCCATGAGATGCCCCTGGTACCTTTTTCATAGGCTTTTTTGCGTTTGAGCAAGGACAGAGGTGCCCCATGATCCCCTATTGCCTGGGGGCCCCATGAGTTGTCAGTCCGCCCCTGATGGCACCCCAACACATTGTACAGTACAGCCCAACAAACAAGAGCACACCACAATGCATATACTGAGCTCTGCGTTTTGAAAAAAGGGCCATGTCCTTTTTTTTTTGTTGTGGTGCAATGACAGCATATACATAATAAATATACTGCCCTAACACAACGCATGTTAATATGTGCCATGATATGTGTCAACAGGCATGCATTAACACACCAAAATGGAACACTTTAGTGTGAGTATACTCTAAAGCTCGATGCTGTGATTATAATCACTATGAGACAGTGGACTATATTATGAGTATTGTGGACTATATGCACCATTTAGGGTTCTCACGTGTCTCTCATTTCTTGGCTCTAGGGCTTATGGCTTATGGCTGGTGTGGAGAAAACAAACTTTTTGCTTTCTCAAAATCTTAAGTTCTGTTCTGAATCCTGGAGCCCAGAGACTTTGTAGAGCTTTAGGTGGAAAAAGTCTTTATTCCTAGACCCATGTCTATCCATGTCTCAGCTGTGCATAGGCCTTTTTTTATTATGTAAGCTAAGTAATATTCAGGACTCTCTCTCTCTGCTGTGAGAGTCTGCTGCTGGATATAATAAATGCTGACTGATGACAGAACACCAAACGGGTACAAACTGTATTTAACCTGTTTGTGTTGGGAAACCCATTAATGGCACCCTGCTAGTCAGGGACTGACCTTTGTTTATTTAGTAGCTCAGCGGACGAGCAGATATTTGCTGTTGTACAAAGCCCTCCTGCATTGTAATTGTATTTATTTGCTGCCTTGCTGAAAAAAAGTGCAAGACAAACCTGCTCCTGGCTGTTCCTGTCTTGTGCATGGTTTACAGTTACCAATACCAGTTAAGCCTGTGTTCCTTACAACAGGTCAGGCTTTTGGCTGCAATGGCCATACTGGACAGGCATATTATTATTATTATACAGTATTTATAAATCACCGATAGTTCGCTCAGCGCTGTACATTACAAAGGGGGGGGGACAGAACATGTGACAGAACAATACCAATACAATGCAAAACATGAGGGGATCGAGGGCCCTGCTCTTTCGAGCTTAAAATCTAGGAGGGAGGGGACGGTGGCACAGGAGGAGATAGCTGTGGGGGATGGAGTGGTAGGAAGAGTGGAGGAGGTCGGCAAGTTAGCAGGGGGTGGAAGTAGGCTTCCCTGAAGAGATGGGTTTTCAGGGTGCGCCTAAAGGAGAGGAGAGTAGGTGATAATCTGATGGGTTGGGGCAGGGAGTTCCAGAGGATGGGTGACACCCTGGAGAAGTCCTGGAGGCGGGCATGAGAGGAGGAGACCAGGGAACTAGAGAGAAGGAGGTCTTGTGAGGAGCGGAGAGTGCGTGCTGGGTGGTACTTGGATATTAGGTCAGTGATGTAGTTCGAGGCAGTATGGTGGACAGCGTTATACGCCAGTGTTAGGATTTTGAATTTGATCCGTTGCGCAATCGGAAGCCAGTGGAGGGATTGGCAGAGGGGGGTGGCGGAGATGGAGCGGTTGGAAAGGTGAATGAGACTGGCTGCCGTATTCAGGATCGACTGAAGCGGGGATAACCAGCGGCGAGGCAGGCCAGTGAGGAGGGAGTTGCAGTAGTCGAGTCGTGATATGATGAGGGAGTGGATGAGCTGTTTAGTGGTTTCTGGGGTTAGGAACGTGCGGATTTTGGCGATGTTACGGAGGTGGAGTCTGCATGAGTTTGTTAAAGATTGGACTTGGGGCTGGAAGGATAGGTTGGAGTCCAGAATGACACCAAGTACTCTGGCCTGCAGGGCGGGTTTGATGGTGGCATTGTTGGACATGATGGAGAAGTCAATGGGGGGTGGTGTCCGGGCTGGGGGGAAGACAAGAAACTCGGTTTTGGAGAGGTTCAGTTTAAGGAAGTGGAGAGACATCCAGTCAGATATGTCGCTCAGTAGGTGTGTGATTCGGGCAGAGACTGAGGGGGTGAGGTGGGGGGTTGAGAGATAGATTTGTGTGTCGTCGCATATACACAAATGTGGCAGGATTTCTGCACATGCACACAAATGCTGCCAGTTTCTGACAGACTGCCATCATACCACCCTGCAGGGTTTCTGCGCACACGTACAGATCCACCAGGCATGCGCACAAATGCCACACAGCTTAGTAACATACTGTCTTGTGGTATATCTGTGATGCAGCTATCCCAGGTTGCAGAGGGGCCTGGCCTTGGCTGCAAACCCAAAGTGCTGTTTTACAGCATGAAAATTAATAAAATAGTCAAATATTGAATACAAATTTTTAGCTTTTGTGTAAGAGGGAGAGGGTAGGGATAAAATAATAAAAGGTTGGTGAAGTGAGTCTAGTTCCACTTTAACTAAATACATAGGTTGCCATGTTAGTTACTTTATTTTAATACTTTTTTTAATACTGTTATTGTCAGCTTTATGGTGACAGGGACAGTTTTTACAATCAAGCTGTAATGATAAACATGCAATTGTGCGATTCAGTGCTAATACTGGTGTATGTCATAATGAAGAGCTGGGTCTCTTGAAGTAAAACTAAAAAACCAAACACACCACATCAATGTAAATCTAATGCCAAAACCTTTTTTAATTCTAATACAGCAAGGAATGGTTAGAACCCCTGTGGGGATTTTTTCTGCTGTCTGTGCCATACTGGGGAGATTTCTGTTTGCTTCCTATCATGAAGACAAAATAAGAAGTGAGGAATAAGCACCTCTTAGATATCTGTCACTGGAGCAGGTTGGATCATTAGAAGATTTCTCCTCTATTCCTGTTTTTAAGGGAATTGTCAAAATTTTGGCTTTAACATCACTTTCTGATGAAAGGTGAGTTTTGACATTGCCTAAAAATACTTACTGTTTTCCCCATCTTAATGGCGAGTTTTTCTGCATTTATATGATCTTTAAAATTTAAGTGACATTTCCTTCTCCGATAATCATCTTCTGTGAAAGGGATTTCAGGATCATCCTGTAACAAGACAGCAGGTGCTTAAGATTATGCACTATTCACCACTCAAAAAAATGGTTTTTGGTTTCTTTCATACATATATATTGGAGCTGATTTACCTACCATAGGATTTTTATTTACTGTATGTCCATACAGTTCAGAGATTTACACAGTTCTTCCACACAGCACAATCCTATCTGACAGGGTAGGATAACTGATTTTTGTCAGGCTGCCTTTCCCCCAGCCTATGATTAGACAGTGAAACCAGAAGCACTGGTGAGCTCATCTCTCTGTCACTCTGCCCTTTCCTCCTATCAGCATGTCTAATGTTAGCACTGCATGACTAACAGCCTTTTTGTGCTGTTTTTTCCTCTCCAGTCTAAGCTTTGTGGTACAGTGGATTTTAGGGAAAAATGTATTAAAGGCTACAGATCTGCAGTAACTTGTGTCTTTTACATATGCCTTTGTTGAGAGCAATAAATAGGCTGACATTGTTGACCTCTCATGAAAATGCTAGTTGCCTGGCTACTACAGTGAACTACCCAAAACGAATATGCAAGATCATTGAGATCATTCTGACTTCATCCACTGCCTACTCGTTCTGGGTTAGGGACTCAAAGAATTTACATTTTTACAACTTTTAAGAATAACACCAAAGAGAATTGATACACCTCCAGTCTTCTCTGATTAAGTGCCAGTAGGCAGTATTCCCCTGAAAGTCACTAGTTACAGTGGGGAAATAATTATTTGATCCCCTGCAGATTTTGTATATTTGCCCACTTATAAAGAAATGGAGGGTCTTTCATTTTTTTAATAGGTGTATTGTGAATGATAGAGACAGAATATCAGTCGACAATCCAGAATAAACACATGACACAAATGTTATAAATTGAGTTGCAGTTCAGTGAGTAAAATAAGTATTCGATCCCCAAGTAAAACATGACTTAGTACTTGGTGGAGTAACCCTTGTTGGAGTACAGTGGTAAGACATTTCTTGTAGTTGTTACCAGGTTTGCACACATCTCAGGAGGGATTTTGGTCCACTCTTCTTTACAGATCTTCTCTAAAGCCTTAAGGTTTCTTTGCAGTCACTTGGCAACTCAAAGTTTCAGCTCCCTCCATACATTTTCTATAGGATTAAGGTCTGGAGCCACTCAATTACCTTAATGTGCTTCTCCTTGAGCCACTCCTTTGTTGCCGTGGCGGTATGTTTTGGGTCATTGTCATGCTGGAAGACCCATCCACAACCCATCTTCAGTGTTCTGGCTGAGAGAAGAAAGTTCTCATTCAAGATTTTCCAATACATGGCCCCATTCATTGGCCCCCCAAAGCAGTAAAATCGGCCTATACCTTTAGCAGAGAAACAGCCCCAAAGCATGTTTCCACCTCCATGCTTGACTGCAGGAATGGTATTCTTAGGGTCATATTCAGCATTTTTCTTCCTCCAAACACAGCAAGTCGAGTTATTGTCAAAGAGCTCACTTTTGGTTTCATCTGACCACAGAACTTTCTCACAATCCTTCTCTGAATCATTTAATGTTCATTGCCAAACTTCAGACAGGCCTGTACATGTGCCTTTTTGAGGAGGGGTGCCTTGCGCACGCTGGAGGATTTCAATCCATGGCAGTGTAATCTGTTACTGTCAGGAATGGACTTGCCAATAATGGTGGGACTCACCTGCCTTGTGGGCTGCAGTACCAGGGCTGGCCAGCGGGTGCTCTCAGCAATCAGAGACTCACCCCTGCAGTCAGCCAAACACCTGAAGCTGATTGCAGGGGTTGTATTTAAGGAATGGCCAGACTCACAGTCAGGGCCTTGGTGTGTGTTTTTCCATGGCCCCTGTATCTTGTATCCTGTGTTCCTGGTCCTGTTCCTGCCTGACTTGTTGCCGACCCTGCCTGATCCTGAACTCTGCTGACTTCTCCTGTTTGATCCCTGGCTTGTGACCCTGACCATTCTCTGCCTGACCCTCTGCACCGCGCTGTCCTTGAGTTACTGAACCCAGCTTGTGACCCCGACCACTCTCTCCCGCCTGTTCCTGGAACTCCATTTGCCCGTTTGCTACTGACCCGGCCTGCCTGACGACTCTTGCATTGTATGTTATTGTTATCTGTAGGTGGTTTGGTTTGTTTGCACTGTGTTTATGTTTAGTTTTGCACTGCGTTTTGTATTGTTAGTCTTAATAAATCATATTGTTTATACCATATCTGAAGCCTGCGTTTCCCTGTGTCAGTCCACACACCTCTGGTCATACCCGGAGCCCTGACAGTTACCAATGGTTTGTTTGGTGACTGTGGTCCCAACTGCCTTGAAATCATTCACAAACTCCTCCCGTGTAGTTCTGGGCTGATCCCTCACTTTTCTCATGATCATGCTTACCCCATGAGGCAAAAGCTTGCATGGAGCTCCAGACCGAGGGCGATTGATGGTTATTTTGTATTTCTTTCATTTGTGAATAACCTTTCCAACAGTTGTCTCCTTCTCACCAACCTTCTTGCTGATGGTCTTGTAGCCCATTCCAGCCTTGTGCAGGTCTACAGTCTTGTCCTTGACATCCTTTGACAGCTCTTTAGTCTTGACCATGGTGGTGAGGTTTGAATGGAAGAAAGAGATTCTCTGGACAGGTGTCTTTTATACATATAACAAGTTGCCATTAGGAGCACCTTCCTAAATTGACAGGACTAATCTGTGTACCACATGAGCACATAGCCAATCTGTGGGAGCCAGAATTATTGCTGGTTGGTAGGGGATCAAATACTTATTTTACTCACGAACTGCAACTCAATTTATAACATTAGTATCATGTATTTTCCTGGATTTTTGGTTGATATTCTGTCTCTATCATATTAAATTCACCTATGATAAAAATTATAGACCCTTCATTTCTTTGTAAGTTGGCAAACTTACAAAATCTACAGGGGATCAAATAATTATTTTTGGCACTGTAAATGTCCTTCACTTTTCCTTTGACACATATCTTTTGTGACTATTAAAACACAACTCTGCCATATATGCTATAGATTCAGGAAACCTAGATTGCTTTTAAAGTGTTACTAAACCCAGGACCCTGCATTCACTATATCTGGTCTCCTACGGTACACAGAACATGGAAATGCAATTATTTTAGTATGCATAAACTGCTAAATACCTTTTCTCATCAGTAGTATATAGCAGTCATGTGACTTCTATCAGTGTCTAGCTGAGCACTGGTTAAAGGTTGTAGGAGGAGTTTTCGTTCTCCTCTGACTGTCCCATGCTGATCACATGCACCCTCACAAAGAAAAAAAAACTCTCTAGCAATACACATTAAACTGGGCATGTGCACAATGACCTTTAGAGCTCTGTACTAACAGCAGATGAATTGGGGACAGTTAAAGTAGGGGAGGTTCAGAGAAGACAGGATCAAACAGCCTTTTTACACACTGTGGAGGATTAACCCCTTAGGTTCCACACTGAGTATAACAAGCATGCTTTACTGCATGTACAGACTGATTTTACTGTTATGGGTCTATTAACAATATCAAATTTATTTGATATTTGACAAAATTCATTTTCTTGGACATCTGCTCCTACAACCATGATCCCCCACTTGCTGAAACACTGCAAAATTTCCTAGCTAGCTAGCAGCAATGAAGACCAAACCTTTGCTGATTTGGCCACTGAGGGAGAAATTTTTTGGGGTTAGAGAGGAGTCAGTGGGCGAGTGTTTTACCTCAGCTCCCTCTGGGGGGTGGCCCACCACATACTAGTGCCATTTTGCTGAAGGACCTCCACCCGGATTGGTCTCTCCAGTAGTAGAGCAGCCTAAGACCAGTAGCAGGTCCATTACAGAATGACAAACTCTGAGTTCAGTCTATAGTCATGATCTATATCAATGTCCAAGCACCACCCCACACACCCAAGACATGGTTGGAAACCAGGCAGTGCAGACACACTAGTGGACAACAGGTTTGCCTCAATATTGTCCTTTTTCTCTATGAGTATATGTGTGTGACTGTAAAAGAGAAATTATACTGAAATCTTCTTCAGGGCATGGACCTACATAAATGGTTTAATGTTCCCTCTAAAGCTCTGCACAAAAATGTCATCACTCCACAGTATAAATGAGGAAATAAATGCTCAATTGCTATATCTAATTATTTATTTATTTTATTATTTATTGCATAACTAGAAGTTAAGATGAAAAAAAAAATGGAGATGGTATTAGCCAATCACAGATGGTACTTGGCACACTTACTGGGTCCAGTGGCTTGCTTCGTGCCCAAGTCATGACTGTAGATAATAATATAAACATTTTCTGACTTTCAAAGTTTTCAATTTCCGTGTGGAGTGCTAAAAAGAAGGAAACAAGATGTATAGTGTTTAGACTGATTTTCAGACAACAATAACAAATTCATTAAAACTAGAGAAGAGAGAATTAGGACAAACAGAGCCTTTACCCATAGCAATCAATTAAAATCCACCAAAGTCCTGGGATAAGTAACTATACAATTTTAACAAATCAGTCTCAGTATGGTAAATCAGTATCTTTTTTGTACAGGTAATGGAACACTAAACAGATTATCCTTCCACATTTTTGTATGTGTGACAGGGATAGCCTCTACTTTGTCTGCAGGGGCACTGCCAATGACTGAATACTATAATACAACGTAGTTCTAGTCAAACTAATATACCAAATATGATAGTAACATCACTGATAATGCCCATATTTTATTATTATTATTACTACTACTATCATTTTATGTACACAGTTATTACTGGTAAAACACCATAAATTTATATGTTTTATTACTGTCAATCCAGCATTTTAATTTTTATATTCCTTTCTTGAAGATGTTCATAATTTTAGAATTATAGCACAAAGTACATTTTTTATTACTATATACTCTATGTCATAACTTTAGTGTGTATTTTTTAGTACCATTTTTTATTTTGTGTTTCAGTCTTGATGAAGGAGGCAGGCTGTAGTCCCAAAGAGCGTTGAAGGAGGCAGCTTGTAGTCCCAAAAAGCGTTAATTTTCTTATACGGTTTATGTTTGGAATAAACCTATTTTTTTAATCAGACATTACGGTGTGACGCTTCAGCTCTTGATTTACCTACCAACTTACAGTGGTTGTAAAGGGAAAAAAAAAAACCTTTTAAATTCAGCTTCCCCTGCAGCCCCAGCTAAATACTCACCTGAGCCTGATCTTGGTCCAGCACTGTGCACTTTGCAGCAGCTCTTCTCCCCTTGCCCAGCTCTCATAGGCTTGGCTGAGAGCAGCGGGAGCCATTGGCTCCTGCTATTATCAGTCAAAACCTGTCCGCAGGGGGTGGGGCCAAGCCAGGCTGTGCGTCTGAATAGATGCAAACAGAGCCCGGAAACGTACCCCCATAGGAAGCGGTGTCCTATGGGGGCACTCAGCAGTAGAGAGGAGGCCGGAGTGCCAGTGTGGGACCTGAAAAAAGGAGATCGAGGCTACTTTGTGCAAAACCATTACACAGAGCAGGTACGTATGTTTGTTATTTTACTGAAAAAATAACCTTTAATACTGACCAAAATATAATAAAGCAATTTATTATAACAGAAGACGCCCACCAGATACTGCCCAGGAAGCTTCATCGATCTGAGATGGGTCCTCTGTGATATTATATATGATGACATCGCTCTCCATGAGATGACTTAACAGCTCATCTCTATTTGAAATCTGAAAAACAAAAACAAATAATCACTAAACACATGAAGCCATTGTGGGATTTTGACATTGACATAGGCTCCATATGATGCCCTATAGCCAGGTTCCAAACCTTCCCAGTGTGCTTGGTGGCATAGTTCCTACTTGGTATCCACTTATTGTTTCATGTATAACAGCAGGGATATTTTCAGTGGAAACGTTGGAGAATGCAGTTCTGGCACCTCCAGCACTAAATGTATGTAAAAGCAAGGGGTGCTGGGGTGTGCTGGAGGGTCTACTGACGTTGGCTGCTAGGGATCTATTGTCACTGGAGGGGATCTATTTTTTGCATGGTAGTCTATTATTGCCAGAGAGGGATCTATTGGAGGTCAATTGTTGCTAGAAAGGGTCTACTGTTGAGGGAGTGGTCTATTGTTGGTTGCTGATGGGTGATCTGTTGTTGTTGGTACTGGGCGGTATTTTGTTGCAGGGGTTCATTTTTTCTGGGGGAATCTATTGTTGCGGGGGGTGGGGGGGCTTTTTTTGCTGGCTGCAGGGGATCTATCTTACTGCTTTTCTTGTTATCGTTAACAAATTCCATACAGAATTATATTTGGCTCAGTATTCTCTAAAAGGAGCACTACTGGGCAGCACAGTGGCTAAATGGTTAGCGCTTCCGCCTGGCAGTACTAGGGTTGTTGGTTCGTATCCCAACCACCTGCCTGGAGCTTGCATGTTCTCCCCTGTGCCTGCGTGGGTTTCCTCCAGGTACTCTGGTTTCCTCCCACACTCCAAAGACATGCTTGTAGGTTAATTGGCTCCTGTCTAAATTGTCCCTAGTATGTGTATGTATGAATGTGAGTTAGGGACCTTAGAGGGTTAGGGACTGATGTGAATGTACAATATATATGTAAAGCGCTGTGTAAATTGATGGCGCTATATAAGTACCTGAAATAAATAATACTGGGAGGTGGGTAGGGGTTGGAACCGAGAGTAATTGCTTAGAGGTGAGTATGGGGCGGAAACAAGGGGTGACTGCACTGGAAAAAAAAAAAACCCTGTATAACAGTGATGATCTCACAATAAAGTGACCGTGTCAGGTCAAAATTCCCAGTGCCAGCTCCCTATATGTGAAAAGTGATTGTACTCAACTCTCCAGTGACTCCTACCTTCTCTCTGTTTCTGTGCTACAGTCTTCACAAGACTCTTCAGCATGTAACACTTCAAGAAGTGTTCCCTGCTACATGCTGTAGTTCCTTCCTTCGGCCCATACCTTGGAGGAAGGAACCACGGCACATAGAGTCACACAGATATCCAAACCTTTCGTAAGTATTGAATGCTAAGGAGTCTAATGGAGGCTGCAGAGCTTAAAACAGAGAGAAGGTATGAGACATAGCCCACTGGAGAAATGAGTGAATAGCTATCTAATGGTCTCCAAACATACAATTGATGGAACAATAATAACAAAAGAACACATTACACCCCAATATTGATTACCACATAGGTTTCCACCGGGAAACCCAGCTTCTTGTCCAATGGTTTGGACAGAGTGCCTACTATCTGGAAAAGGCCCTGTTTGGATTTGCTGCCTGCTTCATCCTCTTGAGCTGACAGGTGCTCTTCTTCCTCCGCTCCCTCTTCAGCTTCTTCAAGGGAAGCTCCAGCAATGCAGGCAGACAAATACTGCAGGAATAATAAGACCAATGAGTTCACAATGTCGTAATTGTCCCCATCAGACCCCACTCTTACATCAATTGTCCCCCCCCCCCCCCCCCATTCTGCCTCAACTGGACCCCTCCTATCCTGTCCCCCCCCCCCCCCCCCCCACCCCCCTCCCATTCTGCCACAACTGGGCCCCTTCTATCCTGTCCCCCCCTCCCATTCTGCCTCAACTGGACTCCTCCTATCCTGTCCCCCATTCTGCCTCAACTGGACCCCTCCTATCCTGTCCCCCCCCCCCCATTCTGCCACAACTGGGCCCCTTCTATCCTGTCCCCCCCTCCCATTCTGCCTCAACTGGACTCCTCCTATCCTGTACCCCATTCTGCCTCAACTGGACTCCTCCTATCCTGTCCCCCCCCCCATTCTGCCTCAACTGGACTCCTCCTATCCTGTCCCCCCATTCTGCCTCAACTGGACCCATCCTATCCAGTCCCCCCATTCTGCCTCAACTGGAACCCTCCTATCCAGTCCCCCCCTCCCATTCTGCCACAACTGGACCCCTCCCTTCCTGCCCCCCCTCCCATTCTGCCTCAACTGGACTCCTCCTATACTGTCCCCCCATTCTGCCTCAACTGGACTCCTCCTATCCTGCCCCCCCCCATTCTGCCTCAACTGGAACCCTCCTATCCTGCCCCCCCCCCCCCCCCCATTCTGCTTCAACTGGACCCCTCCTATCCAGTCCCCCCATTCTGCCTCAACTGGAACCCTCCTATCCTGTCCCCCCCCCATTCTGCTTCAACTGGACCCCTCCTATCCACTCCCCCCCATTCCGCCTCAACTTGACCCCTCCTATCCAGTCCCCCCATTCTGCTTCAACTGGAACCCTCCTGTCCTGTCCCCCCCATTCTGCTTCAACTGGACCCCTCCTATCCTGTCCCCTTGCATTCTATCTCAACTGGACCCCTCCTATCCAGTCCCCCCCCATTCTGCTTCAACTGGACCCCTCATATCCACTCCCCCCCCATTCCGCCTCAACTGGACTCCTCCTATCCTGTCCCCCCATTCTGCTTCAACTGGACTCCTCCTATCCACTCCCCCCCCCCCCCGTTCCACCTCAACTGGACTCCTCCTATCCTGTCCCCCCATTCTGCTTCAACTGGACTCCTCCTATCCTGTCCCCCCATTCTGCCTCAACTGGACTCCTCCTATCCTGTCCCCCCCCCCCATTCTGCCTCAACTGGACTCCTCCTATCCTGTCCCCCCATTCTGCCTCAACTGGACTCCTCCTATCCTGTCCCCCCCCCCCCATTCTGCCTCAACTGGACTCCTCCTATCCTGTCCCCCCATTCTGCCTCAACTGGACTCCTCCTATCCTGCCCCCCCCCCATTCTGCCTCAACTGGACTCCTCCTATCCTGCCCCCCCCCCCATTCTGCCTCAACTGGAACCCTCGTATCCTGTCCCCCCCCCCATTCTGCCTCAACTGGACCCCTCCTATCCTGTCCCCCCCCATTCTGTCTGAACTCTCCCCTCTCAGCGCCTACACTATGCTTGTGTAGCGGCAAGATGAGTTCCCCTGCTTTACATCTATTAGCGCCTGATTGGCCGCTATCATTAACGCCTGAATTGCGCCTACTTTACCCATTGTAGCGTCTCATTTACGCCTGCCGAGCCAACCCCTCCTCCTCACCTTGCCTATGTTCCTGGCAGCGTACCAGTCCAGGTTATTAATGAAGATCCTTTTCGGTCTAACAATCTGCTCCCCTCCCTCGGCCATGTTGCTGTCTGCGTGTTACTACGGTCGCACTCCGGTTGCCAAGGACGGGTGCGCTGCAGGTTGCTAAGCTACGCTACGGACGCTGGAAACGGGGTCCTTCCAACTCTGGCTTTGGTGTGGCTACCTAAAGCTAGTGCGCAGGTCTGGTAGAGGAGAGAGCGCCCCTCTCTAGCTGTGTGCACATGTAATTCTCAATGTTGGCCGAAGATGGCAGTGCTGAGCTGGTGACGTCAATGAGAATCCAGCTTCTAGTTACAGAGAGCACTGTAATATCTTCGCCGGGCGCGGTGGCGTGCGTCTGTAATCCCAGCTACTCGGGAGGCTGAGGCTGTCGGATTGCTTGAGTCCAGGAGTTCTGGTCTACCCTGCGCTATGTCGATCGGGTGTCCGCACTAAGTTCGGTATCAATATGGTGGCTCTTGGGGAGCCTGGGGCCACCAGGTTGTCCTAAGGAGGGGTGAACCGGCCCAGGTCGGAAACGGAGCAGGTCAAAACCCCCGTGCCGATCAGTAGTGGGATCGCGCCTGTGAATAGCCAGTGTAGAGCAGCCTGGACAATACAGTGAGACACAGTCTCTCTTTTCCTAAATTCTTGATATTCTACAATATTATTAACATCTATTTTTTACATTTGATAAACATTACATTTATTTTTTAAATGTTTTTTATTGTCCACCCATATGTATTTTTATTTCTTATTTTTATAAGCCTTACTTATTTTTATATTTACTCATTATTGTGTGTTTAATGCGGCATTATTTTTATATTTATTTATTATTTTTATACACCGTTATCTATATTTATTATTTTTATATTTATACACCCATATTTATTTTTATTTATTATTTTTATACAGCCTTATTTATTTTTATATTTTACTCATTATTGTGTGTTTTATTATTTTTATGCGGCATTATTTATATTTATTTTTATACACCGTTATCTATATTTATTATTTTCATATTTATACACCTATATTTATTTTTATTTATTATTTTTATACAGCCTTATTTATTTTTTATATTTACTCCTTATTGTGTGTTTTTATTATTTTTATGCAGCATTATTTATTTTTATATGTATATTTTAGTTTTTACACCATTATCCATATTTATTATTCTTATAAATAATACACCCATAATAATTTTTATTTATGCCAGCCTCCCGAGTTATTTTTATTTATTATTTTTTTATACACCCTTATTTATTTTTATATTTACTCATTATCATATTTTCTTTATTACAATTATTATTTTTTTACACCCTTACTTATAAACTGTATATTTATTATTTTTATGCACTCTTATTTATATTTATTTTTATATTTACTCATTATTATATTTTTCAAATTATTTTTATGCACTTTTATTTTTTATTTTTAATTTATTATTACATTTTTATTTATTATTTTTATACACCCTTTATTTATGGTTGTTTTTATGTTTTATTAATTATTATCCTAATTATTTTTAGTTAATGTCATACACCCTTATTTATAGTTATTTGTATAATTATTAACTATTGTATATTTTTTAACATTATTATTATTATTATTTTATACACCTTTTTTATTTTTATATTTATTCATCAAATTTTGTTCATAAATGTATTTTTTTATGCACCCTTATTTATATTCATCGTTATTTTCATCTTTATTACTTTATGTATTTTTTTTTTTTTTCAGGTACTTATATAGCTTCATCAATTTACACAGTTTTGATTTACATATATATTGTACATTCACATGCACCCTTATTTATAGTTATTTTTATAATTATTAACTATTATGTTTTTATTCAACATTATTATTATTATAATACACCTTTTTTATATTTACTCATCAAATTTGTTCATAAATGTATTTTTTTTTTATACCCTTATTTATATTAATTTTTATTATCATCTTTATTTCTTTATGTATTTATTTTTATACACTCTTATTTATTTTAATATACTTTTATCTATTTATATTTACTTAGCCTTTTTTTTCCCGTCAAATATTCACAAACTTTTCTGTGTGATTTCATTACATTTATTGGATGGTTCTTTGTAATATTTAGCATTTGCAGATTTTTAAAAGATTGATTGCAGTGTTGGTTATATAAATAAAATATTTGTAAAAACTTGCAGTTGTTTTAAAAGGAGGAATTCAAGTTGCGGTTGTTGACAGTTTACATTTCCTGAATAATTATTTGCATAGAGGGTTTTTTTTTTGTTTTGTTTTACTTTTAATCAGTAATCCTTTTAAACACTGTATGAGCAGCACTGACCCCTGCTGGTGAAAGATAAATAATGCATCTTCAGCTCACACACCATGCTGCGTGTTGACCGCACGAGGTCGCTCAGCTCCGAGATCTGACTGCAAGTTTGCAAAGCAGAAGCTTGATGCTGATGATCGGCGCTGGTGAAGAGTGTCTGGGTGCAGGGGCGGACTGACCATTTGGAAACGTAGGCACTTACTGAGGGCCCGGGGTCAGTAGGGGGGCCCCATGAGATGCCCCTGGTACCTTTTTCATAGGCTTTTTTGAGTTTGGGCAAGGACACAGGGGCCCCATGATCCCCTATTGCCCGGGGGCCCCATGAGTTGTCCGTCCGCCCCTGTCTTTGTGACATTTATTAGAAAAGTTGCTGACAGTATTAGGGCTCATGTGCACTGCAGCTGCTAAGCTGACGGTCAGGAGCTGTTCAGCGTTTTTTTTTTTCAGCAGCCCCTGAACTCTCCCCAATGTTTTCCTATGTGTCCATGTACACATAGTCATTTACAGTCGTCTACAGGCAGTTGATTTTACAGTCGTTTTTTTGAATGCATCAAACTTGCGTTCAGGAGTAGATTTTACCGGCGTTTCAAACGCTTGTAAACGCCACTAACCGCGTTTATAGGCATTTGCGTTCTAAAAAAATTTTTAATGCTTCCATTTCCAGATGCTGTCCAGAGCCTTTTTTCATCATAAAAAAAATGCATGCAAAGCATTTTCCATGTACTCAAATGGACCCGGTACACCATGCTCCCTAAAAAGGTGCTAGAGTCTGCTCAGTAGCAGGAGTTGGAGTGTGGTAGTGGGGGAGGAGTGTGACTCAGGAAGATGTGAGTCTGGAGGAGGAAAGCTGCCAGGAGGCCTCCTGGGATGGGGCCTGCCTGCGAGCCTGGAGCTGGAAAGGAGGAATCCTCAGGACTCGCTGGTCCCCTGAGTAAGGACCACCTGTGTGGTAAGGAGGAAGCAGCCCAGCTGATAGGCCTGGTAGCAGCACCCATTCCACAAGCTGCACATGAGAGGATCTGAGTGAGTACACCTGCACCCCCTGGGCAGATAGGGGAAGAAGCCCTTTGCTAGTGACTGTGCACCATATTTAAAGGAACAGGAGCCAGATCCTCTGCTCAGGAAGAAAACCTTCAGATTTTTG